AGGGCATTGTTTTCTTTTTTGGGAAGGGGGCCCCTTTCTGGGGGGTTTTTTGGGTTTTTTTGGTTTGTTTTTTTTTTTTTTTTTGTTGTTTTTTTTTTTTTTTTTGTGGTTGGACTCGATGATCTCTGAGGTCCCTTCCAACCACTACAATTCTGTGTGATTCTGTGTATAGCCATAACCCAGAGCAGGATGTCCTGCCACCATGTGAGAGGTACCCATAGGTTGTTCACTCCAGCCATTAAAAAGAAGACTAAAGTAGGTGCATGTGAGAGTATTCCTACCTGCAGAGAGAAGTATTCCTACCTACACATAGAAAGCAAAGCAGGGAGAAACACTTGGGATGTACAATTTAAGACTGATCAGACTGAATGGTGGAGCAGAAAGCGGGGAACCTGGATTGTGTCATCTGCTTGGTGTTTAGGCTACATGTTGCATGGGCCTTATCGCTTCGCTCTACTGCCCTTTAACTAGCATTGCAAATAACAATGGGCAGGACTCTGCTGGCCTTACCTGTGCTCAGCAGATTCTTGTTTAACCCTTGGTTTCATATAAATCGACAATAGGTAGGTTGGGGAGCAAGTATGCATGAGGAGCAGAGCTAGTCTTAATATTTGTGTTGCAAAACACCTAGAAGCATGTGAAGAGAAGACATGGCAATGTAATGTGCTACTATGTAGAAATACCAATAGGAATAACAGGGAGGAAAAGCAGTAAAGGTAGTCAGGAATGTATTATTCCAGTCTTCAGTTCATTACCAGCATCTTCATGATGGAGCGTTCAATCTATTACTTCAATCCCCTCAGTATTGACATGGTCTTCAAAGGGAACAGGCAGAGACTGACCTGATCCTGATGCTGCAATTTGACTTGCTCCAGCTGCAGGCTGTGCTGCTCCTGCAGGTTCTCCTTCTCAGTGTTGTCCTCCTCCTTCAGCTGCTGCTCCAGCGCCTGCAGCTCCTCCTGCTGCTGCCTGCGAAGCTGCTGCCGCTCCTCCTCAAAGCGCTTTTCCAGCTCCTCCTTCTCACTCTGTAGGTTCTTCCATCTCGCTGTGTTGAGGGCTGTGGAGAGAAGACCATACAGTCAGGCTCTGAACTCCTTGGAGGCAAAGAGTGGCATTGGATCTGCTTGTACAGCACTGAGAACCATCGTTCTCCATGACTCTGGGGCTCCCATGGATCTCACCCATCAACAAGCTCTCGCTGTCACTTCTCTCTGTCCCACTCTCACACACACATACACACATGCATTGAATCCATGAATGCACACTTGCTTAAAATATTTTTATATTCAAGCCACTATCTTGTGTGCTTCATGGAACATCAAGTGAAATGCTGGTACTGAAGGCAATCAGAAGATGTAAAATTTTTACTGTTGTGAACTAATCCAGTGACCATGTCTCCAAATTCACAGCTCCAACTAGTTTCAGGAGGTGCAACTCCAACAGTTCTATCAAGTCAAGGATATTCAGTCTATTTCCCCACTTGGTTCCTCATATATATTGTTCCTTGGGTCCCAGGACAACAGTGTCACAAACACTGTGTCCTTGGCCTTATCCTTTGCTAAAGAACAGTTGTAATCAATGCAGATACTGAAGACCTGACGTAAATTGGACAGGGCCAGCCACACTAGATATACAGAGCCAGTTTGCAAAGATCTAACAGGTAAGAAGGTACTAAAAATCATGAACATAACATTCAGAACAACACTAGAGAAGAAGAGATGTGTTTTTAATGGCACTGCTAGACCTTTGTTCTGATTTAGACCCATAGCATGTTTAGAAAAATTACCACCTTTTGAATTTAACATCTGTATTAGCCATTCATCCATCCTTTACCTTTCAAAATGCACAGGCCATGCAGAGACCTGTATGGCATTGTAGATCAGCGAGCTGGAAGCAGCTGTCTCCCTGGGTAGACAACTTCTCCATGTTTCAAAAATATATTTATCCTATGACCATATATTAGCTCAACATCTGGCAACCTCCCCGTCCTGTGTTTTCCTGTCTCTTTCCACTGTGGTATTAGACTGTGCTCATTTTTTTCCAGAACAGCAACAGTCTGTCAAAGTCACCTGGAGTATTGTGTGCAGGTCTGGAGCCCTCAGTATAAGAAAGATATGGACCTGATGTAGCGGGTCCAGAGGAGGGCCACTAAAATGATCAGGGGGTTGGAGCACCTCTGCTACGAGGACAGGCTGAGGGAGCTGGGGTTGTTCAGCCTGGAGAAGAGGAGGCTCCGGGGAGACCTAATAGCAGCCTTCCAGTACCTGAAGGGGGCCCACAGGAAGGCTGGGGAGAGCCTGTTTACAAAGGCCTGTAGTGACAGGATGAGGGGCAATGGCTTTAAACTGGAGGGGAGCAGATTTAGCTTGGAGATTAGGAGAAAGTTCTTTACTGTGAGGGTGGTGGAGCACTGGAACAGGTTGCCCAGGGAGGTGGTTGAGGCCCCATCCCTGGAGATATTCAAGGTGAGGCTCAATGAGGCCCTGGGCAACCTGGTCTAGTTGGGGGTGTCCCTGCTGACTGTGGGGAGGTCAGACTAGATGACTTTTGGAGGTCCCTTCCGGCCTGGACAATTCTATGATTCTATGGCTGTGACCACAGCTCACGTTAGGCACATCTACTTGTGCATCTGAGCTAGCCATCTCCTTCCCAATGTAGATATTTTTCACCCTTTTCAGAGCTCTGCTTCCACACTTACTGGACACCAATATCCCGACTTGCTCAGCGTGTCCAGACAGATATCAGTACTGGAGCCCTGTTCTCACCCTGATGTTTTCTGGAGTGCTAGGAGGGACTCTGTAATTCTGTGTCCCTTTCAAGCTCTCAGCTCCTTATGGAAAGAAAGTGAGCCCTAGCGCCACAGCAGCAGCACAGAGTGAGCTTTCCCGCCTGCCTCATACCCAAAATGAAACAGGGTGATTTATATGGCCATTAGCTGAAATGTCTTGTCTCCTGGCAGTTTGGTTTATCGCTCTAAACCCTCTCTCTTGCTTTTTGCTTTTTGCTTCTCTTTGGCATGCAAAGCGATCCCAGAGCTGGAGGACAAGGGATAACGCTCGCAGCTCTGCGTTCAGTAGAATTCAAACTTACTCAAGCTTTAAATTGGAGCTGTAATGAACACTCTCTCTCTGCAGCCTCTCTAATGAGATTATCCAGCACACAGGGAGGCCCAGGCAATGAAATGACACGCTCTAACCAAAAGAAAGTCCATCTGAAACACTTTCTGTAAACTGAAACACAGAACTATTCACATCTTGCAAATCAAACCCTGGTGCAGGTGCAAAATGGAGGGAAAAGGAAAGCAGGGAAAGAGGGTCTACATGGCATATTCCTCACACACCCAAAAATGCTATATAAGGCAGAAAATGAGACCATTGCCCAGGAAATTTGCCCTATACTGAATATCCAATACCTCTAACGAGAAGGAGTGATCCTACCACAGTCTTCCAGACTGAGACAAATGAGGCCAAGGACTGAAGTGGTGAAGGAAGGCTGAATCTCTTCTTAGACAGGAGATGGACCTTTGGCCCTGCCTCTATTGGAACAGGATTAGCAGAAGGTGACACCCAGGCAGCCCAATACAATGTTTGTGGCTCCCTTACCCAGCTGGGGAACAGGAACCAGAATGGGAGAGCCTGCCTTGCTGGAGCCAGGGTTTAATCAGCAGAGGCTTCAGCAGGTGGTTCTGGTGAACCAACCTGAATCATCTCCAGCAAGGCCCTGGAGATACCTGAATTTTGCTTTCAGGCATCTGGATCTGGATACTCTAAAAGCGAGCTCCTCTTGTAGAAAAAAAAAAAATTAGTAAGAAAAGTTATATAAATGTATTACTGACATGGAACAAGACAAACAGAGCACAACTGCTATCAAGAAGAATTACACCCTGGTTTTATTTTTTCCTTCTCTGTAGGTATTTCAGTTGCTGCTTACAGGCTGGAAATGACTCTGGCATAACATGGCATTTCCTGGGATGACATCCTGCTGGGTTAAACAAGAGCTGTTTCTTCCCTACTCCCCGCACCTGGTGGCTTTTAAAGTGCCCAACAGATGAGCAAAACCTATTGAGGGCCTGGGAAGGTGAGGGAAAGGGAGATGGACTGATTTTCCTGCACAAACCCAGCCTGAGCTGCAGCCCAGCCTCCCCAGCCCTGGTACTTTGCATTCAGGGGGGTAACTCCCATGGGAACTGGGGGGCTAGTGTCACATGGCCCCACACAAGGGACCCTCTGGTTCTGACATGAGAAGTGGGGTCTTTGTGATGCAGACTCTGCTCTTCCTCCTGACCCTTGGCCACAGATTCGCAGACAAATCACAGCCACTTCACTCAGGTTAAGGGTCCTCTGACTGGGAGGCACATCCAGGGGGAGGTGGCACACAGGCTTTGGCTTTCAAACTCTTGTGAAGACAGATAATACAAATTTTAAACTTGACATCTGACCACCTTCCATTCATCTGGGTTTTTATGTATCTCTATGCCTCCTCTCAGCTCACTTCACATGTCATTTGTCTGACAGCAAAGGAGCAGGTAATTCTGACATTTAATTTCCATTAGTTTGAAGGGAAACAGCTGGTGTTCAAAACCTCTTTATTCCAGGAGTCTCTCTTGCAGCTGAAAAGTGCTTATATTTATAATTCATAAAGATGGGTGTCTTGAGTGTAGAACAATTGCTTGTCATATTTTTCTAGTCTTGGTATTTCTAGAAAAATACATGAGCAAATCTTATTGCATAAAATAACAATTCCTTCGGCGTTTATAGAGGCCACATTCCTCCTCGGGGCTGGGAAGGGAGAAGCACTTTCCTGTTTCAGTGCAAGCTGGTTTCAGACAAGGTGCGACACTTCGCAGGAGTGCTGGGGGTAAAGGTGGACGGTGTTATCCAAACCTAAATATTTTGCCTGGTTCCAGAAGGGTGCAGGTCCCCCTCAGCTGTTTTATACATGCTCCATCACTGCTATTGCTTCAGCAGTGGGTTTTATTTACCAAAAGAGATTTCCTTAAAAATATATTCTGATTTTTCTGAACAGTGGATTATATCTCGCAGTTTCACTGCTATTTACAGCAGAATCCTGCAGTTTCTCCTGAAGCTGACAAAGACTGTACTTTCAAAACGAAGCACATTCAGTCCCTAAATCATAATTCTGAATTAGAGCTATTGCCTTAACAGCTAAATGTTGAACACACGACGTGTATCAACCCTGGCTAGTCCAGCCTTGTTTTACTGATTCATCCAGGCATTTGCATCAATGAGTCTGACATGGTGAATTTACACGTGAGAAATAAGGAATTTCTGACCAACACCCACGCAGTTTAACTGGACTGATTATTTTTAAATTAATGAGAGAGTACTTATCAAAGGGACTGAGACAAGTCAGAACTACAACTCGGTTGTAGTTAAAATAGCCTGCTCGGTAGATTTCCCCTGAATTTCTTCATAGAATTATCTATGATTGCTGTTGTCAAATAAATGACTGATTCATTCCTTATTTGCATAAAGCATGGAAGAATATGTACAATATTGTACAACATACAGATTCATCTGATAGTAAGACCAAAATAACCCTCCTATAATGCAGGTGGGCTTCATGGCTCCAGTAGCACCAAGAGCCCCAGCTTGTGCTGCTTTAGAGACAGCAAAGAACTGCACTGACAAGAACCGCTCTCATGCACCTGTCATTTGCCATTTCACCTTGTCCACAGATTTAAAAGACTGGTTGCTTCACAAAATTTAATTTTATAATTTTCTTCCAAAGGAAAACAGACTGTCCAGCAATTTTTAACTAACACTAAAAACCATACACATTTACCTTCCATATGTACAGATACATACCAGAATTGGTACTACTGATTAATTTTCCCACATCCTGCTGAAGTGCAATACCTGCACAGATTCATCTTTTTGTCCATCCCTACTGGGAGTCCTTCTGCCTGGGCATGTTGCATCTCAGGGTTGTACAGAGAGGACCTCCAATAAGCAGGACAGATCATCAGCCACCCTTGTTGCAACTGAACAGCCCCTGCTCAGCATCTCGGTGTCTCCCAGAGCGGTGGCTTGCTCAGAAAGGGGTGGCCTGTGATGGCTCCTCTCCAGTACACATGCCCACAGGACCACTGAGGAAAGGACTATCTCACACCATCTTTCCCCTCTCTGAGAAAGAAAGCACATACACATCTATGGCTAATCTCTCTTCTGAAAGCAGCTCAGCTGAGACCTCACACTGCTTTTCCAGAGTATCCCCTGTCCCAATGGCCCTCCCTCCAGATGCCCTTCCTCCTCTCCCTTTGCCGTAGGGTAGATGAATCCAATGTCACACCTGTTCTGGGGAGATTTAAGCCCAAAAGAACTCAGCCTGTTGGCTGAAGCCAGCGCAAAAGCACATCTTCTCTCTCAAGAACTGCAATGTCGTTACACCCTCTCCATCTCTCCTGTCTAGAACAGAAACCAAAGAGTAAAAGTGATGTATGCAGACACATGGGGAATACACAGACCGAATGGGACATGCTGCTTTTGCCGTCTTTCAGCCAGGAAGAGACCTATCACTAACAAGCAAGTTCTGAGCTTGGTGTCCTTCAGTGTGTAGCTGAACTGCAAAACATGCAAACATACCTAAGCGGTGCATCCCCAGTCACCGTGCACCACATTAGACCCAGCTTCCCACTTCCATCACTCTGTGCTTTCTCCTTGGCAGCGGTGGTACATAGTTTGAGAACGGAAGCTATGGATTTATGGAGAACCATTCGTCTAGTAAAGATGATGTACAACTAGCTCCAGTGTGTGTGGTGATGGACCCACTTCCACAACAGAGAGATAAAATCATGGTTCCCTGCAAAGCCACAAAACCCCTTGCCACTGGGCTCCAGAAGACACTTCACCACATGTATGCAGGTTCCCCAGGACCAGGTCACAGGGAATTACTGCCTTTGTGTAAAGTGAGAAAATCACTTTTGTTATCACTTTACTTGTACTACTTACCAATTTCATCCCTGATCTTTGCAAGCTCGACTCCTAACTCCTTTACTTTCACAAGGGCATTTTCATTCTGTTTAAGGAAAAAGAGAGAGAAATATGTATAGTCCCCAGGTTTATCCCAGATAAGCACTTTCACATGTTCATTTAGTAAAGCAGACTAGATTGATTCCTCAGATCTTTTTTTTTATTTATTTTTTGGTGGGGGGCATGGATTATAATGAACTCATTCAGTTTTTAAATCAAGCTTAGGTGCCACAACTCACTGGCTACAAATACCTTGTATCTCTATGAATGCATGTACACACACAGGGCACAGGGCAGCACAGAATACTCTATTAACTCCTGTGTATCTAAAAAGACATTTGTATTTTTCTACCACTTTGTCTTCAGTCTGTGTACCATTTATGGCTAGACTGCATGTTTAAGATGGTTTTATTAACCCTGTTAAACCCCTTTCATCTATTTATGCCTACATTTAACCACCTCTAAACAAAGTAATGTCACACATATTACACAGTCAAATTTGCAGAGCAGATTACTGTACTTACACCCGTCTAGGCATGGTGGGCATACCCACAGAGGCACCACTAATGGCCTGATGTTCATGCCTATTTCCACATTTATTTCTAGTATTTTATTAACTGAAAAGGACAAGAGCTCCTTTCCTCAACCTCTCTCAAAAGAAATCTGAATACTTAAGGAATTAAAACAGATGAGCTGGCCAAAAGAAAATTAAAATATATTTACGTTAACAACACTGAGGTGTTATTACTAAAATGCAAGGACTTTGGCAGCAGATATCTCATGAGTGCTGTGCAAACTGACAAAGAAAAGCCTGAGGAAATTCTATTGGAGTTTGGTCTAGTACAATAAATCCCAACATAATGGTTCAGACATAAGGGCACTTTAAATTGGAATGTATCCTGAATCACATTAGGAAGAAGACAAAGGAACAGATCCTGCTGGGAAGATCACCAATGATTAGGAAAACTAGATCAGACTACTATAAATATGTCCTAGGTTAGAAAAGGCCAAGAATCTCTCAAGGACACTACAGAAAAAGCATATTCAAGAGAAAAGGCAGTGTAGCAGTAAAAGGAATTAAAAGGAGTCCTAGAAAGTAAATATTTCAGTAATAAGCAAGCAAGGCTAATAAAAATCTAGGCCACAGAAAGGATTAGTTCAGCAGCAGGATATATAGCAGATAGGATAGCATATTAGTTCTGTCTTATCAAAATGAAAGTGGAAAAAGAAAGATTTCAGAGCTTAATGTTTCTGTTTATTTTTCCTGTATCTAATTTTTAACTATGTTAAAAGAAATAACACAACAGCTTTATTTTTTGTAATGCCAGGAAATTGAAATCTGGAATTTAAATTGATCCTTTACACACTGTCCTTTTGGGATGATTTCTACCAGATCCAAGGGACTCACTTTCCAGAAAGTTTTGCTGTAAATGGGGCAATTAACTGAGCTGGTTGAGAGCCTTGGGTGCCTGAGGAGAACCAGGCGACGTGGGCATCTTTTTTATTCAGTTATGGGCAGAAGCCAGGCACGCAAGGCTGGGCTCCTCCAAGCAGCCACCTCCATACACTGCTGAGTAATGCACAGGGCATCCTGTGCCAGGACTGCAGAGTCTCCAGTCCTGACTGACTGCATTAAGCTCAGAATAAAATGGAGTGGGTTGGTTTGTTGGGTTTGGATTTTTTTTATCTTTTAATTAATATAAAAGCTATAAAAAAAATTAAAATGTCCAGATAAATATAGCCTGGTATGTTAAAAAAACATGGGCCTTCTCACAGATTCCCAAACCAGCAGTCTTACAGAGATAAGGTTTCCCCTTTTGGAGAACATCACTGCATCTGCCCATACCGCCCATTTAACGCACTGGAGTCATTTTAAGAAGTGTTCTTGACAGACTGCCAGGACGGGTGCCCTTGAAGGCGTGCGCAGAGGGATATACTGGATACGGGGCTGGCAGATTGGAAGCACCCACTCAGATCACCAGCCCCCAGTATTCGAAACAAAAGCCTTTTAAAGCAAGGGAGCTCTGTCGAAACCATTGTAAGCACCTGCAGATAAGCAGAACTCTGTGGAATTGTTGCTTACATGAAGAAAGTAAAGCTTACATGAAAAGAAAGTAAAAAAAAAATTACAACCCAGGGGAAAAAAAAAAGTTGTTAAAATGTTGATCCTCCAGAAGCAATATTACAGACTCCTTTCTTTTACATTATGTTTTATCTTAGATACCAGCTTAAAAATGCTGCCCCATAATTCAGGTGCCAGCACGGACACCACCCCTTGAGGACAGTGGACCTCCTGGCTGCCTCATGCTGGGGATATGATTTCCAGAGCAGGCTCTGGGGCTATCTCCAGCAGCTCGGGTGCCTTTGCTCTCAGGTGCCTGCCTGGCCAATACTTCTTGCATTATATTTTATTTTGGTTAGAGCCTTCTGACTGCTCTTCGGGACCTTGTTTTTATGTTTCCTGGGAGGTCAGACATGCAAAGGTTGCCCTCAGTGCCAAGGCCTCAAGTAGCCCCTCTGTCTCAGAGGGTTCTTTTAGAGAGCAGTAGCCCAAGTCCTCATCTTCCTCTTCTGCAAGAGACGCCAGGTGTAGCTTGGCTTATCATCTTATCAGCCTCATGGTCTTGAACTTACGTCTTGAATGATGCTAATACAAAACAAAAAAACCTCTCCTCGTTATCATCAGTATGGATCTGCAGATCACCAGCACTTCAGTGTCAGGGCAGCCAGAGAACTGGGAGTGCCAGGGCTTAGGAAACCAAATGTTAGAGTAGAGCAAAGCTGGATGTGACATGAGAACGTAAAGCTATCAGATCCAATGCTGCAATTCATACAGGTCCAATGTCAAAACAACAAAGCAACTAGAAAATTCACAAGCATGTGAGGAACAATCTGCCAAAACAAATGTCTAAGAAGCCAAATTAATGGGATATCCCATTGAATTAATCAATCTTCATTAATATTTATCTCAACAAAGCTTGAAAGAGAAGACAGAATAAGCAGGAACCTTTCTTGCCCTCCCAAGAGTTTTGTGTCTATCAGGCTCAGCCTATCAAAGGAGCTTTATAGGTCCCTTTGCTGGGCACCAGTTGGAGTACTGCCATGGAGGGTGAGCCACCAAGGCTCAATGACCATAGTAATGACACAGCCATTTCCAGTGGGTGGAAAGGTCATAGGCACTGTAAGGAGATTGTGCAACTATCCGGCATGTCAGTGTGGCAGTTAAATGGCAAGTTAAAAGCAAGAAAAAAAATTGCTTTGATGTGATTTGGGATTAATTTTTTTTTTTTTTTGCGAAAATGTGAAACCAAAACAGTGGCTTCTTTACAAATTAAAATGAACAGTGGCTTCTGCACAAATTAAAATGTTGCATTTGTTTTTCAGTTACTTTTAATGAATGATGGATTACATCATTGCTTGGAAAACTGATGAGAAAGGTCTTCCATCATCGCAAGAAATGACTCTGATACTGAAGTAATTTTCATTAAATGAAATTATGCTCATAATGGAAATGAAGGAAACTTTCTTCTTTATACCTGTACTCTATAACACAGTGGTTAAGTCTTCTGTCTGGAATATGTCCCAACTCCCCAGACAGGAAGAAAAATAGAATGATATGTTTGCTCTGTGCTTAAACTACTGCGCCGTTGAATAGAAGACATAGTAGCAACTCTTTTTCCTGTCATCAGCTTTATAACATACAGACCTCCCAATATTTCTGCCATGAAAGGCTCACTGATGGACTGCATTCGAGCAAGTAGAACAGACACTGAAAATAGTATTTATTTATATTCTCCATTCAGCTCAAAACTCCCTGAGGACAGACTGAGGTATGACTTACATTGGTGCAACATGGAGAAACTCCAGAAAAATTCACAGGTAGGCAGAGAGGTAGGTAGGAAGGAGAAATTCGTCCAACTAAATAACAGTGGCCAAAACTTAGCAGTATAGTTCAGAAAAAATCTGCAGGACTAAGATATAGCTGTGTGTGAGGAGCTGGAAGAATAACTTGGTAAGAGACACCATGATACAGGCCTGAAGATGGGCAAGATGCTGGTGTTGTCCAGATAGATTAGGAAAGGAAGTATTCATGAAGGATTGAGGCACAGGAAAGGCTCTGATGGAGCTTCAGCCAACAGCTAGACATCTTCAAGGAGACATTGTCAGGGAGATAGGTCGAGGTTTTACTTTGGACCGGGAATAATTGTGGGATGGGGAAACAGAGTTAAGATTTGCCTTACAGCACCTGTCCTCTGAGAACTGCAGACTACCTGAGAGATGCTAATTCATTAGAAATGCTAATTAATTAAACCTCTAGGTAGTTATTAACAATAGGTAAGCAAAGGTAGATCCACTGCATAAATGGGTCAAACCAAGCAAGGAACATCAGAAAATTGCCCAGACCCACACAGGAAGTCAGCTGCAGCTTGGAAGCAAACATGGAAGCCTGGAGTCACCTCCCCGAATCAACATGTCTCTCCAACATGCTTGCTTATATTCTGAGGCCCAAATATATGTACAGTATCTCCACGAACACTTCCCAGTTCTCTATGATACCTCCTAAAAATATACACTGCACACAGATGCTCTGTGGCACTTGTTACTAAAACTGCTCCTTCAGAATAGCTTTTCTGTAGCCAAAGCTTTCAAAATACTAAAAAAAAAAAAAAAGACTGACCTGCAAATGGTGCTTAGTCATTGTTGTGCTTTGTTCAGAGTTCCCTGGGGCAAGGTCTTATATTATAATTGGAAAGAGAAGCATATACATTGGGAATTCTCTTATACCAATAAATATTTCAGCTGATACTTGTAGAAGCAATAACTGAATGCCACTGCAGCTGGTGTTCAAAATGATCTACTGTCTTCCTTCAAAAAAGAGGTGTTCTAACACTCCTGTTTCAATGATGCTGGTTATCAGGCAATCCTCCCTCATAATACTCTTTAGGTTAAAGTTTACAAGAACTTAGATATCCCCCAGTGACTGTACTTTAACAAGTTTTATATGAAGCCATACATTTTTTCTTAACCTGGTTAGCAGCATATCTT